TAAGATCCCTTGGAACTGGAGCTGAATGTTTTTTCTTTTGATTTCTTTTGTGTTTTCTTTTGAAAGCTTGTTTTGTGGTTTTCCAAAGTTGCATGATAGAAATTTATGATGTATTTTATTATTCACAGTAAATATGATTACATCTCATCTCCCTAAAGCTAATGTTGTTTGTCTGATACTCACATAGACTGTAATATTTCATCCCAATAAAAAGTATAAGAAGGCGTTATTGCTCTTTTAGATTAACAATTGTTTAAGCTTTTTACAGCTACATGATAACATTATCTTAAAACTTTTGTTTCTAAGTCACAACTGGACAAAATGCAGAGTAAGAGACTATATAGTGCATGTCCTTGGATAGGACTCCTGCATTAAACCTCACCCACCCATGGCTCAGCAACCATTGCAGAAGAGGGGACAAAATGATGGCAACATGCAAGGACAGTGAATGAGAAAAAAAAAAAGAAACAAAACATAACAGAGTTTTCCAGGGTTCTGGGAACTTGCTCATATGAGCTTACAGCAATGGTGAAAGCACATGCAAGACCCATGCAAACTCAAACCAGACAGAATCCAGCATAGACCCATGGAAACTGGTAAGAAGCCCCAACCTTAACTGAGGAACTACTGGCAGCTGATCACTGTTGGGTGAGGGTGAGTTGGTCTTCTTTAAGGAACTGATTTCAGGTAGGCAAACCAGATTCCAATGGATGAACTCAGGCTGAGGGACATTTGGGAACACAAATTTGACTCAATAGGCCTTTAACACATATTACAGAATGCAGGAAATCTGCTGGGGGGCTATGGGGGTTGTGAATATGTGAGGAGATCTTAATATGATTAAGAAGTATCATGAAATGCATGAAATTTCAATAAATATATATTAAAATAATTCTTAAATAAATATAAAATATTTTAAAAATGTAAAATCATCAATATTTTATAATACTTTTACTTTGTTATTAAAAAGTACTTTTTGTAATACTTCTAGTTGTCAGTGATCTTTATGGCATAATTTATGATTACTGTTTGTATTCTTCATGCACATGTAAGAAGATAGACCATAAGGTGTACACTCATATTCATTGTGTGCAATACCATCCCCCTCTCACCACTATGTAGCTCAAGATGACTTTGAACTAACCACACAAGGCAAGAAAGCGTTGAATTGACAGTGAGCTTGGTGCCTAAGCCTTCTGTATGCTGGCATGGCAGCTATACATAATCAAACTCCCCCTGTCTAATCTTTCTTGTATGGAGTAAGGTATGTTAAAATTTCCCATTATGTGAATGTACGCAGAAATATGTCATTCATTGTTCTTGGAGTTATTGTTATTGAATGTACAAATATTCTTAACTGCTGAATCTTTGCTGCTAATTATGGATTTTATCATTAGGATCTTTTTGAATCTTATTTTTTCACTTGAAATTAATTTGTCACATATCAACATCACAAAGCCTACTTTTTTATTACGATGTACTTTGTACACCTTGACCTATCTTTTGTCCTAACAATTATAAGCCACTATTTTTCATGGTATTTAAGAGCAACATTTTTTAAATGGAAAAATTAATTGTATTCCTAAATAGCAGGTTACTTTGTCAAGGTGCCTTTTTTTAAAAAAATATTTTTAATTATTTTTATTTTATGTGTATGAGTGCAATGCCTGCATGTGTGTAAGTACATGTGTGTCATGCAATACTTGCAGAGATCAGAAGAGGGCGTCGGATCCCCTGGAACTGGAGTTACATACAGTTCTTAGCCACCATGTGGGTTCTAAGAACCACACCCAAGTCCTCTGCAAGAGCAGCCAGTGTTGTTAACTGCTGAACCATCTCCCCAAGGTACTTCAAAAACTATTATTTTTATTTTTTATTTTATGTTTATGAATGCTTTGGCTGAATGTATGTAAGTGTACCACATGCATGTAATGTCTGCAGAGGCCAGAAGAGGGTGTCAGGTTCCCTGGAACTGGAGTTACAGATGGTTGTTCATTATCATGCGGATGCTTGGAATCGAATCCAGGTCTTTTGGAAAAACAACAAATGTTCTGAACTGCTGATCCATCTCTCCAGCCCCTCAAGGTACTTTTTTTTGATATTTTTAAATATTTGATTATACATTAATTTCATTGAAGCTCTTTATTATGGTTTTCTTTCAGTTGATTGTTTTCCTTTTTCAATAGTGTATATTTATTATACAAAAGAACAGGTCACATTATGACATTTTAAGATATATACATAATGGGTATTGATCATATTCACTCTGTTCTCCCCCGTATTGAACCTTACTCTTCTCAAATAGTCCTCTTTCAAGTTTTTTGTTATGCTATTTAAGTATAGATTCTATTTATGAGAGAAATATGATAGCCGTCTTTTTAAAAATTAATTTTTATTAAATTTTGTGATTTTCATACAATATATTTTGATGGCATTTAGATGCCCTCCCCTAGACACACCTCACCTCACAGTTCCCTGCCTAATTTAATGTACTATCTTACATATATAATACAAGCTATGGAGCCCGTTTTGTGTTTCCAAATGTCCTTTAGTGTAGGTCCATCCATTGGATCCACCAAGAGTCCTATTCCTCTAACTGTTTTTCCTTGGGTTGGTTAGGAGTCTTTATCCAGTTCCCCATGTCTATGCTAGGATTTTCTCTGGTATGAGCTCTCATATGACTTTTGCATACTGTCACCATTGCTGTGAGTTCATATGTAACTGACCAGCTATCTGAAAGACTGTTTCCTTGTGGTCATCCACCAACTCTGACTCTTAAAATCTTTCCATCACCTCTTCTGCAATGATTCCTGAGCCTCGGGAGGCAGAGGTTTGAAATAGAAACTTCTTTTTGCAACAGATGGAGATTTACAGAGTTCCAGAACTGATCAAGTGCAGAGAATAGGTGTCTGTGAGAAGCTTAACCCTAAGTGATATTCACCTCTTTTAGTCTGACTTATGTCATTTAACATGATAAAAATTTCCCAAAAGTCTTGATTCTTACATTGTGGGTTCTTTTATAGTAGCTTGGTATAGGTGAGGCATGATTGTATCTTTGAATTTCTTTGAACATGGCTGGCAGTCTGTTGCTGGTTCCCAAGGTTTCAAGCTCAAGACCATCTCTTCATGTATTAAAGTGTGGTTTCAAGTACAGACTTTCGGGGGACAGTAGGAAGCAATATGGCAGAGGTTATGGTCCTTACATGAGACATTTTAGTCTTGTAAAATAATACCTTTTAAACTATTCTGTTCCCTTTCATTTTAGTTTTTTCATAAGTTATTCCCTCTTTCCTTCCCTCCCTCCCTCCCTCCCTCCCTCCCTTCCTTCCTTCCTTCCTTCCTTCCTTCCTTCCTTCCTTCCTTCCTTCCTTCCTTCCTTCGACTTCCTTCCTTCCTTCCTTCCTTCCTTCCTTCCTTCCTTCCTTCGACTCTAGTCTACTTTCCCAAAACTTCTTTCTTGAGATTTATGTACACGTTTATGTCTGTAACCTAAAGCTGATTTTAGAAAATTTCAGTGTCTAGGATGTACTTGGAGTCTACATTTTATGCTATTTTAAGATTAGTCTTAGGCTTCCTGATAGTTTTCTTTTTGCCTCTATCATGTTTTCTAGACCACTTTTCATCTACTAAATAACACACATAAGGAGCCCACTGTAAAATCTATACCTTTGAAATCACAGTTGCATTTCATTTCTGTGAACTTTATTAATTTTAGAGATGAGAGGGTTAAGTGTCTAGTGAGCAGCTGAAACATTTATGCTTTGAGGTTAATGCTTCATTAAAACTCAGTGGAGATTTAGAAAGAAGAATTTCCTTAAAAACAACTTATAAAATACCTATTAAGATTAGGTATATCTACTGTAGTTTGGGGAGAGACTAGTTAATTTTCAAGTGCCCTGAGAGATTATGTTCTAGACATTGATTTTCTTGTAGGATTTATAAACTACATACTCTTTAATAATATTTCCTCTGGTCTAATCCATTATACATTACAGGAAACATCGACTAATAATTAAAGTTAAACTGGGCCATCCAATTTTTGTAGTAAAGATATTTGTAGAAAACCAAATACAGTAGTATATACATGTAGTATCAACTACTTGGGAGACTGAGACATGGAGAGCCAATGAGCCTTTATTATTATTTTTAACTTCTAGTTAATTAATTAGAAATAAATGTCCTTAAAGAATTGTGTGTGAGTTTGATTTCTTAAATCACAAATACTATCCACAAACAAAGCTTATGTAAGAATAAACACAGAAGAGATGACACAAAATCAAAAGAAAAACTAGAAATCACTTTAAATTAATATCTAAGGAATATCTGAATTTTTATGGTTATGATATGAACTTTCATTTATGTGGTTAGAAAATAATTTTGGTACCTCGTCTCCTTATAAATCATGAGTTACAGACTCCAAGGTGAAGAAAAACAGCCTAATTAGTTATTAAGTACCTATTTCATCCAAAGTACTTAGTTTATCAAAATTATAAAAGATTCCTTACGGTGGGAGTTTAGCAATGATAGAGTGCTTGCCTAGAGTAAATGAAGCCCTGGGTTCAATTCCCAGTGGCTCCAAAACAGCGTCAATTCCCAGTGGCTCCAAAACATTTAAAATGTATTTAGTAAGGAAGATGAGTTTAGTTTTCTATATATAGAGATGGTATTTATAGTAACTGTACTGGTTAAAATACAGGTGTGGGGGCATTTTTATCACTATCCCATTTTGCATATTCATTTATTTGCAATGACATTAAGAATAAAGTATTTATGCATAATTTCAATATATTATAAAATGGCTGTTTGAGTTCTGAAACTTCTGCTGTTGCTTAATTTAATAAATCTAAACATACTCAAATAATTCTTCTGAAGCACAATTTACTTTTTTCTTTGTTTTGCAGATGCTATGGGTAAATTAATTCAGTTTATGAATGTCTACTGAGATTTAACACAAATTTATGCTACTATTTGAGCTGAGAAATGAATAGAATTGTACTCACCATAAAGAATTGCAAGCAGAGATATGGGCATGACAAGTAGTCCCACCAGCATATCAGCAATGGCTAGGGACATTAAGAAGTAATTGGTGGCATTGTGCAGTTTCTTCTCCATGCTTACTGCCATGATAACGAGAATATTGCCACCTATTGTCATGATAATGATTACGACGATTGAAAGTGCTGGCCAGTTTTGTACCCCGTCCGGGAAATTAAGTAAGCGTCCACCATCGGAGGTATTGAAAATGTCAGTTACTAGAGCAGCTACTGGACTTATAGAAATATCGAATTGCCAAACCAATAGGCCAATTAGGTGCACACTGAAATTAAAAAGAAAAGAAAAATAGATCAGATATTGCTTACGCACAATATATCACTAATACACAAAATACCCTTCTTTACCATAATCCTCACCATCTTCACCCCCATCATTCCTATTGTCTTCATTAAATATCAGGATTTCTTTACACCCCAAGAATATTAATAGTTAGCACTTAGTTTATTGAAATATATATGTATAATCTCATTTTGTTACATATAAAACAAATGTAAATTCAGTGTTGATTTATTTTCATTTTATAGATGTGAAGTAAAGGAAATTAAAAGAAGTTAAGAAACATTCACAAGCCAATATAGCCAAGTCAGGGACAGAACCAGGAGTCATCCTAAGTTCCAAATGATTTCAGAGACTGTGTCTTAAACTTTTGCTGCAATCCAAAGCCACAATATCATTTGACTTGTAATGGTTTGTTATTTTAGAGTTTTATTTTATTGGTTTATGTAGGACCATTTTCATACAGGAATATAACACACCTTGAGTTATCATCTCCCATATGTCAATACCCTTCCCTCTCTTTCCTGCCCCCCCCCATCCCACTAGTGCTTTTTCTTCCCCTGTGAGGTTTTGCTTCTACTTTCATGTTATTAATACATCTATGATGATATGAATCTAAAAGCCCAAGACCTACAAATGAGAGAATATATGAGATATTTGTCTTTCTGAGATTGACTTAATATTTTATTCTTTACTTATTTAAAGTATTAATTTCTTTGAGCTATCCTTTGAGACAGTTGCTAAGGAAATGATGACATTTTCTCAAAGGACCAGTAACCAGACCGGAAAAAAAAAAATGGAAATTGCCTTGCTTTGATCCAAAGTTAAAAGAAATAGTAAGGCATCATCAGACAAATTCTCTGCAAATATCTGAAAGAGGTGGTGATTGCAGTGCATATTCATAATTTAGAACTGTTTTTAAGCCTTCATATTTGCAAAGTGATTTTATACTGGCTGACAATTTCTTGCCTTGTGTTGTACACTTTCTCTCTAGTGCTTCTCTCATTGGGTCACCTTATTTTCTGAGACCCGCTCTAGGCTTCAGAGTGATTTGTGAAGATACCTGATACCTATGGGCAGAGTTAGGAACTAAATCTCTTTTTTTAATGGCATACCAAATTTATTTATTGATCCAAGAAGGCAGAAAAGGACCAAGAGAAAAACAAGCATGAGATGAAACAAATTAGGAACTAAATCTCTTAAGTCACTTAAAATGAATATTTTTTTGAGACAGCATTTCATTATGTGATTCTGACTGATGGGGAACTTGCTTGTAAACCAGGCTGGCTTGAACTCACAGAGATCTGACTGTCTCTGCATCGGTAGTACTGAGATTAAAGGCATGAGCCACCACGCCTGGCCCTAAAATGCATATTATTGTATTGATCTTTAGGCAGATTCTAGCAGCTGGAATTTCAGGCTAGGTGGCAATGTAACAAAAGGGAGATGTGTATGTTTTTGTCTTGAAAATTTCCAGTTAATTTCTCTGATGGTTGATTTATTCAACTTACAAATACAAGTGTACATTCAAGATGTGAACTTTTAAGGTTTCTAATAAAACTAACACATTTATCTTCCTTAATAAAAATAAGACAGTTTTGTTCAAATTTTCCCATTCAAAAATTATTTGTGAAAGGCTGTTTTGGGTAGTGAGTTTTTTTTTCAAGTATTGCAGAAAACATTTTGTTTAGGAGCAAAAGGATTCAGAACTTCTCAGCTGTACTGTCCAGAGTTTATACAATTTGGGATTTCTTTTTCATGCTCTACTCCTCAAAGACTAGATTTGGGTTAGATCAGATTTATAATGGCTTAGTTCTTGAATCTGATGCTTTACCTATTTGCTTTATATTTCATTCTATTGACTTAAGCTACGAGGTCATTGTATCCATACTTCCCAGAATCAACTACACTGTTGATCCGATCCTCAATCTGTAACCCTGACTTCTGATCTTTTCTTTTGCAATTTCCACTGTTTTTTACAAAATTGAAAGCTTATAAATACACTCTTTCTCCTGTCTTTCTTCCTCTCTCTTTCCTTCCTTCCCTCTTTTCTTTCAGCAGGCTTCAGTATGTTGCCACAAACTTGCAACCATCCTGTCTCAACCTCCTGACTGCTGGGATTAGAGATGCGCACTACCACAGTATTCAGTCATTCTATTACCTAGATTGTTCCGTTCGAATAAGAAAGAAAAGGAAAGAAACTTTCTGACTTTTAACTATGATGAAAACAGCCACAAGAATTTGAATGAGTTGAAATGAGGATAGACTATATGCCCATATTATTTGGGTATATGAGCTTTAATATTTATGTAGATTATGTGTTACTATTTTTCCTCACTTATTATCTTTAAGTAGGAAATATTAATCTCTTGGGGTACAGGCCATTTATGGAGGCATAGCTACCTGGTAGTACGGAAGCATTTTTGATAGTATTGAGTAATCAATCATAAAATTAATTGTGTACTGTATTAATTAAAACAAATAGTAGAATCCTTACAGGAACGAGCGCACCACGTTGCTCAGGTTCACCATGATTGCTTCAGGTTTAAGCAACCACAGGTTCAAATTGAGAACTGAGAAATTAAGAGGTTGGATTCATTACCTAGGGAGAGAAAAAAGAAAAAAAAAGAACGTTAGTTAAAAGTCCAAATAAATTGCATAACAACAAATTAAATAAACTTGAATGCACTTACTTACTCACAAGAAAGTTAATACTCCATTTAGTGAACAATTAAGTATGTCATATTGTAAAATCAGAAAAGAATAGCAAAGAACATTTTCCCATTTACTTATAGGTATGAAAATATCCATTTTTGTAAAACCACTTATTTAAGCTTTATTATATGGGACTTTACTAAGTAGTCTCCTGTTTGGGAACACAGAGCTTCAAATCAATGTTTTAAGAATGGAATTAAGAATAGATCCTTTGAAATTTTCAAGCAATTTAGAGACCATGTATAATCTAAAAATTAATTTGCATACTAAAGAGATTTCATCCTATAGTAAATGGAAAACATAAAAAATTTCAAGAATATCTTTAAAGTGAGCATACTTAGTACATTTGCAATTTTGCTTTTCTTCAAATGAAATAAATGATATTTGCATAAAAACTTCTATTTATGTTTCTGCATTAACCAAAAATATTCTCCAGAGGGCAGCAATGACAAGTTTATACCAAAATAAATGCAGCTGTCAAGCTTACCATATTAAACACAGCAATCACTCAATATATTAACAAGTTAATAACTAATTTTATGAAATTATAGAATCCAAGTAATTGAGGTAAAGTTGAAAAAACCAAGGTCAGTTGTATAAGATGACTGAAACAGAACTCAGCTTCTTTTGTGAATCAATAGGTGATTGTACATCTTCTAAGGTACTAAGACGAGTACACGAAATTTAAATAGCTTATCGAAGCATTTCAGACTGAATGCTTTTTGTTTCTACAAGCTGTTTTTCAAAAAGTTATTTGTCGTATCACCTATTTACTCACTTGCTACTCACTGTATTCAGAATGCTAAAATGCTGTTGAGAATTAGAATGCACAAAATACACATGTCTGCTGAACGGAGCCTGTCACTATCCATCTTTTATTGGCATTGGGAAAATACTGAATGTGAATTCTAGTGACTAATATAATATAAAGATCTAATATAATTCTAGTGAGTAATGTGAATTCTAGTAACTAATATAAAGATCTAATATAATTCTAGTGACTAATATAATATAAAGATCTAATATAATTCTGTTGATCAAATGTGAGTTCTAGTGACTAATATAATATAAAGATCCTTTAGAGATTCATAACTGAGAATAGTGTGGTTGAAACAACCTGCTCTCTGCTCTTCCTGTGTTTTCGAGTTAGGGTTTTGACTACACTTTTTGCCGCATCAAACACCTAGCTGTATTCTCTTTATGGTTATAAAGTTATTTCAGAAGTCGGAGTTACTAAATTATATGTTGTGAGTATGGTTTTTCAGTGAGAAAAAAAAGGTATGTCTGAGAGAGGGAGAGAGAGAGAGAGAGAGAGAGAGAGAGAGA